ATATTGGCTTGTAGAATTTAGAACTTAAAACTTGTATTCTATTAAAAAATGGATTTTTATCTAAGATTTTATGCTATTTTAATTGGTATAACATAAAGAAAAAAATAGTTTAATAAAATTTTGAATGTAAGACACTAAAACCTTGTGTCATGCGCAGTAAAGGATACCTGAGGTAATAGGGTTAAAGGAAGCATAATTATCATCAGAGTTTTGCCATTAAGAACATTGCCTTTTGTAGAAAAATACTTATATGAAAGATTCAAAATGTTTAGTTTATTCATGTAGTTAGTTGTTCATCTCGTGTTTGAATGAATTATAAAAAGTATAATTTTATATTACACAAATTACACAGCTAGAATAACATTTAATTTGCTTCATACCTGTAATCTTTTATCCAAATTTGATTTTTATAACGGTTTGTGTAAATATTTTGTAATTGATCTTGTAATGAATTTTCAAGTATTTGTGTACAGCACATTGTAAACCGACAAAAATTAAATGTCTTAAGAATCTTTGAATTGTATGCCTGCTTTTTTATTTTAGTGTGAAATGATTTATGTTTAATTTGTTTTTATTTTTACAGGTGGATGGGGCATGGCACCTGGTTAGTATTCATTTAGCTTGATTATTACTAAAAGCTCTAGCCTTGGCAAAAATAGAAATACATAATTTATGCCAAAATCTGGATATTCATTTTTCCTTTGTTTAAATGTAAAGGCACAGTATTAAACAAGTAAGAATTTAAGTCATGGTATTTATGCAAAATTAAAATAAAGCATTTTCTCCATCTTTTATTTTTGTTTCTTGTTAAAAATGGCTTCAGATGGAAATTGTAAAACTTTGTTAGTAGAGTAAAAACATCAAAACTTTTAAGAAGTTGTCTTCAAAAGAAGATTCTTGACATACCAAAAAACACTAGTTTCTGTATGTAATGAATTGTTCAAATTGAAAAGTTTTTTAATTTGTACCCTCAGTTTTAATCTTTCATGCACTGTTTAAACAGAGTTAAAAATGTTATTTTCAATTTCCAAATTTTCCAGGTGGTTATGGTGGTTATCAAGGATGGGGAGGAGCACCAACTGGATTTGGGCCATATGGACCACCAGGACCACAGTATGGACAACAAGGATATGGAGGATATGGTGTGTATTAATCATATAGGCATTCACTTACTATATACTACTTGGCTGTCCTTACAATGAGTGAGTGTCTGAAGAGGCATAAAATAATTTTTCTAGCATTGTGTGAAAGGTTATTTGTTAATTTTCACTAGTTTGATTAGAAATACAGTAATTTACCTTAAATTAATTATTATTCTTTTGATATATATTTTTTAATATCTTATTTTATTGTGAATAGTTCTATACATTAAATACACTTGATTATAATGTTTTATAATGTTCCTGGAATGTGGTGTTTATATATTACAGTAAGCATTGAATATCAAAATATCCTGAAATTTTCTGTGTCAAATGCTTGGTGTCCAGAAAATGGTTCCATGTCATGGGAAACAGTGCATAAGAAAAACTTTCAGCAGTGCTAGAAAATCACAAGTGGCAATAAAAACATTTTTTAAGTTGACTTAATGTGAAATAACATCTGACAGTGCCAATGAATGTGGAAATAAAATGTTTGCCAGGAAATTCAACACAGTGGCATCTTAATTCAACTTTCATGATTGATGGTGAAAGTGTAAAGTTAGAAATAATATGGGCTTTGATACTACTCGTAGTTTTATATCATCAAAAGATGTGAGAGGACTTTGTAGATTAAAATTGAGTGATATTGAAGTAGCCAGACGTTCTGATGTAGTGAAATTAAAGCCAAATATGCTGCAAGTTTTGGATGTGCACAAATAAAGAAGGGATTTAAAAGTTTACTGATTACAGGAAGCTTTTTGTGATGACAGCACATGGGCTTTCATATTACATTTTGGTCAGAAGATAAAATGAAAATACTTTTTTGTCATCAGAATTCCTGGGAGACATGATTGCAGAAAAAAAAACATGAATGACTAGCAAATGAGTTTTAGAAAGAGTTAAACTCGTATTCCCAGATATCAACTTAATTCCGAATTATGGGAAGGAGAAGATATTATTCAAAGACTAAGTCTTTTGATTACTATAAAAAAAAATTCAACAACCAAATTCTGATGTTTGATTTGGATTTTTTTCATCATTTGCCACGTGGTTGATGTTATACCAGTCCTCCCAAGATGCTTTTTTTTAAATGTAAAACATCTAAAAAAATAGTGCTGGGATTGATGAAGTGGTTTATCAAACCAGATGTTATGGGGGCTTTTAATTTTAGCCTGAAATCATAAATCTTATCATATAGCATTTTAAGTTTCTTCAACCAAGCAGTGTAAAAAGAAAAAAATGATGCTCGAGTTCTTTATGGAATGTAAGGAAATGTTGAAAACTTACCTAAAAAAAAACTCTTAGAAGTCGTAACTTTAACTACACATTTATCCAAGGGTTTTGTTTGCTTGGACTCCTGAAGCATTTCAGTTGACTTGTTTGTGTCTTCTAATCATGAAGAGATACTTGTGTACTATTGTGGAGTGCAGAAAACTTCAATAATAGTGTGATATTGTCCTTGAAGAATTAAGGTCTCTGGTTTGATTTCCATTACCACCAAACATTTTCACCCTGTCTTTGTTATGGCATATTTACTAAGGCTATCTGCCACTAATTTTTCACTAAAGTGAAAGCAACTGGCACCAACTTTTTCCTTGTTGAACTGCTGACTAGAGGGAAGACCACTGGCTAGCAGCATTCAATGCCAACACACATTAATATTACCAATCACCCAGCTAAAGAGAGAGAAATATGATATATATAAAACATTCCTGATGAGTGTAATTGTTTGCTTTATTCAAAATAAGTTGTATTTCTCAGATATAAATAGACTTAACTGATAATACTGTTACAAAAAGCATTGTTACTTTGCCTGATAAAGGTAATGGAGATACCATTTTCAAATTGTAGAACACCAATAAATCTTTTTTTTCAGTTTTTTCCCTGTTTTTTTATAATTTATAGTATGAAGTTGGTGACTGCATTAATTGGTTATAGTCAAAAGAAATTTGTTAATAAAGATAACTCAAGATGAAACATATTAGATTGAAATTCTATGGTAAAAAGAAGTATTTTTAATGTTCTTCAAATAGCATTTTTACATTTCACAACCTGTTAATTGATAGAATTATATGAAAAAAAATTAAGGTGAAATTAGTTTGTACTAAGTTGTGAGAAGGCAAAATTTAAAGGATATAAGGACACACTTCCAGTCCAGAAAGAGTTTATAAATTTCTACAAAATTGAAAATACTAGCATTTATCATGTAAATGACTTTTGAATTAATTAATTATGTATAAGTTGATGTTCCCATTATTTTTTTATGTATTATAAATATATGTATATATATATCTGTATGTGTGATTATTCTTGTATATGTTCAGGTGTTGGAGCTACAGGTTTTGGAGGGTTTGGAGCTACAATGGGACCAGGTCAAGTACCAGGAGGAGCTGTTGCTGGCCAGACCCCAGCCCAAGTGTATGGTCAAGCAGGGTTAAATGCACCTACACCCAATCCTGGGGCAATAGCCCCTCCAGGCACATCAGAAGCTACAGCAGTACCTAAATCAGGTATAAAACAAGAATGTACAGCTCCTGTTAAATAAGCTGGTAGCTTTTGAAACTTGGACTTATTTTCTTTTTCAATTTAATTTTTAATAATAAAAAAATGATATACGGGTTTGTTTGATTATATTTTGAGTTGTTAATGGCATACTTAGAGGTTTTCAAATTTTCTGTGTTTGTTTTCAAATGGTGACCATGAACTTGGAAGTGTAAAGTAATTTGGAAAGGGATCAAAATCCTAGGATAAATTAAAAAAATATCCCAACATCTGGAACAGTCTGGAAAATCCCACCCTTATATACATGTGCACAAACCATTCTGCTTTGTTGTACAAGTTAGTATATTTTAACATAACTTTAGTCATTGCTCTTATGTTATTTTATTTTCTGATAATTCATTATGATGGTAAGTTAAGTGGTTTTTTTCATATTTAAAAAATGTAACAATTTATTGTCTGTTATAACATAGTTCGAAATAACTATGTTCCAAAGTTGTTTTCACCATTTATAACCAAATTTATAAAATGATGTTAATCAGGTCAAATTACAAGGAAATATTAAAATGGCAGTGTGTTTTACATGTGCAGGTTTGGAAAATTTGTAATGAGAATGATAATATTTTATGAAAATTTTAGACATCTCATTCTACAAAACCTTATATATATAACTGAATAAAAGTGAAATATTAGAGTGTTTAAAAAATAAGTATGCAAAGGAAAGTTCCTGTATGAATGCCAAATGTTTTTTTTGCAGGAGCACTGGCAAATTATGCTCAAGAAGTATCCAGTTTTGGACCTGCACGAGGATTTATTGGTACAGGAGGTAAGAACTGATAAAAATAAATGAATATGTTTTGTATATGAAGTAAGCTTTTTTTTTATTGTTGTTGTTGATGAATATGTGCTACTGCTTCTAATTGGGACAAAAAGTATGTTCAAGTTTTATGTACTGACAAGATTCGTAGATCTGAAAAGTTAACAGCTGAAATTTTTGTGTGTGAATAATGATTTACTTCATTTTTCTCTAGTTTCTTTAATATTGTTTGTAATACTTGAATAATTTGAAATATATTTCTAACTTTTCACATGTACGGTTATTTTGTGTTGTCAGTTTACTATGTGGATTTTGGAATTAACCTAAGTCACCTGTACAGGCCAAGCCTTGTGTGATGTTTTAATTATGGCTGAAAATATTATTGGCTGTTAAGGATACACAACCGATAATGCAGTGGTGTCTAATTGTTGTAGGTTTTAGTTTCTAGTGTATTGATTTATAATATTAAGTACTTATGTCAGTTTCTTATATAGGATTGACTTCATCAGATCATAAGGTAGTTTTTAGTTACTTCCTATATTATTTATTATCTTACTTTTAATCAGAAAATCATAATAATATTGATTTGTCATTATATCAGAAATCAGTGAGAGCACACCTAATTGAAGTATTGACATTTTTCACTTCTGAATAATTTTTATTTAAGGAGGAGGATCACCAGTATATTTCATGAATTATAGAAGGTAATAATATACTTTGTTGAATATTATATGTATGAAATGATTTTTTTTTTATATTGTGGTTTTATAATATAAATACTAAAGACTACTGCTGTTGAAAAACTGATTAATCAACAGTTTGTTCTATGACCACTATCGAATTTTGCCAAATATTTATATGATTTCCTTTGCGAATAGGCAGTGTAGTTGCTTATCTGCTATAATTTAGATAACAAGTAGGTTGGATATGTTGCCAGTATACTATATTTTACTTTAAAATGTGCAACAGTGTGGTTTAAAATAGTTTTATGATTATAAACAGCAGTAGTACTAAAATATTTATTGTATCTGGTAGTTTATTTTTCTACCTAAAATTTTTTGTATTGGAAATAAGTGGTACTGAGGTAAAAATATAATTCAGTCTTCTTTTTTCTTTCTTTTTTTTCTCAGCATAGATTACTAGAGTATTATTCTTGTTTGCTGTAGAAGTTCTATTAAGTTACATGGGTTGAGATAGAAAGTTAAGGAGCTTAATTATATGTAGGTTTGAAACTGATTGATTGTTTTTTGGGGTGCTTAATGTTTGAAATAATTAGTTTTGAAAACTGTCAGCACTGCTGTTAATTTTCCAAAGGGAAATTAAATATTGAGTGTACTTTGAAAAATTATTTGTAAAGAAGTGTATATTATTGGAAAATGAAGTTAAGAAGGAAGTATAACTGTCACACAAGTGGTGTATTTTTATTACTTTGAGTACTTGGTATAGCTTTTATTAAAACAGAGACAAGAGTTTCATTCATTAAGTGTCCAAAAGACTTTTGACCCTGCAAGAAGGTTGCAATCAGCTTGTGTAGAAAAGGCAGTTACTGGTTAGTATTCTAAGGAAACCTGTACTGATATATTGATGAAGATGTGTTTTAGATATTAAACTCCTAAGTTCATTCAACCTGTGGAATAGTTAATTGGAAAATGTTATCTAATGCCAAGCAAGAATAGCTTACTATACAACAGCATATACATGTATTGCATTCTCGGATGCATCTGAAACCTTAAGATAAGAGTAGTGATTGTAAGAGTAAAAGATTTGGCAGGAAATGTTTTCAAAGTTAAAACTGAGTTTCCTACTTGATTTAATTGAAAAAGAGATTGGGTACAGTTTGGCAGTGAAAACAGATTTTTTTATTTAATATAAGACAAGCTCAGAACAGCTGGATGTGTTCACAGGACAAAAGACAGAACTTCTCTCTCTTAGTGTCTGGAGTGAGATCTAAATGATTTCTGATTAAATAAAATCCCTCTAAAGACATTGAGCTGTCAATTGTACAAGAACCAGTAGGGTAATTTCTCTCGGAATGTATGCATTACTTGTGTCATAGTTTGGTATTCCACAAGCAAAATGAATTGCAATCTGTAGGTTATGGTTTTGAATCCCTATAACCAAACATGGGGGCATTATAATGTGACTGTCAATCCCACTATTTATTTGTAAAAGAGTACCCAAGAACTGATGGTGAGTGGTGTTGACTAGCTGCCTTCCCCTCTAGTGTATCACTGCTAAATTAGGAATAGCTAGTGCAGATAGCCCTTGAGTAGCTTTGTGTGAAATTCAAAACAAACCTTTGCATTGCAGGATTTACAAAATGAAACTGGTTTGTTTGGGTAACAGTGCACTCTAAAACAAGCTCATGTGAAATCTACATGGTTGAGTAGTTTGATTGCACACCACAGCCGTTTGTTGATGAGAAAATTCCAGAAGTCATCTGATGAAGGTTGGTTTCTTGAAATGAGGAAAGAGAGAGGAAAGGATAGAAACATGTTAAGGAACAAGAATGTGGAATAACAGAACTAAATTTGAGAAGGGCAAAATTTTTACATGTTTGGAACTTCTGTTGTGTAAGGTCACCCCCTCAAGGTGGATTCCTGTACGTGGTGAAGTGGAGGATTCTGTATTTTCAGTTTACCTCCTCTAGGATCTAAACATCCACCCATTCATTTGCCATGTGTGGCACTTTAACACACCACTTTGGCCTTGAATTCCTGTTGGGCTAGAGTCAACTAAATACCAGTGTTGGATGTTCTCAACAGGTGTTGTGGACATTGTTTCTGATACTGGTGTTTGGATGTAGTTCCCATGAAACTCTGGCATCTCTACAATGTTTGGCTTTAGCATTGTAGTGTGTCCCCTTGTAGGACTCCATGGTGGGTGGGCTCACTGGACACTGAAGTTTTAATTTTTTTATGGATTCTACATCCTGTGACCAAAAAAACACATTTATAGGAAAGTGACCACATTTGGAAGATTGAACAGCAGTCTCCACCCCATTCTGTATTTGTACCTCATTTTTTCATCCTGGATTCTTTATGTGACAAATTCTTAGGGCAAATGTCTCCCTTTTTTATTCAGAAGGAATTAGAGGGGGCTTGCTGGCTCTCCAAAGTAAATGAAGAAGCTACGTCCTGGGGATATCTTGGTGGAAATATCTGCACCAAAACAAAGTGAACTCCTCCTGAATATGAAAACCATTGGGGATATACCTATTGAGGTTATTCCCTATGCTACTTTGAATTCCTCCCGTTGAGTTTGTTGAGAGGGATTTATGAAACATCCAAGAGTCGAAGATCCTTGCCGATTTCTCCAGCCAAGGAATTTTTGCTGTGCAACGTATCTCCAATAATAAAAAAAGGAATTATACTGCCTGTCACTGTTCTTTTATTGACATTTATATCATCATATCCTCCTGCCACTGTTAAGGCAGGTTATCTGAACTGTAAGGTATGGCCTTATATTCCTAACCCTCTCGGGTGTTTCCAGTGTAAGCAGTTCGGACATTCAAAGGCATTTTGTCGTGGTTCTTTGACACGTGCTCATTGTAGTGGCAAAGACCATGATGCCTACAAGTGTCAACTGGACCCTCACTGCATCAACTGTGGTTGTCCCCACATCTCATGAATATTACTTTGCATGATAGATAGGCAACATTGGAAAAGTAAAAAAAATACATGAAAAAAACATTGCTTTTCAAACCTCAAGACTTAATAAAAAAAATTGATATTTTGCATATGAAAGCAT